CCCTGCCTCTCCAAATTGGCTCTTCTCAGTAATGAAGATTGAACAAGTTGAGAGGACTGTGTAGCTCCTACTCATTTCCTATTGACCTGTTTGCGGCATTCTTTTATTTTCTACGATGTTGTAATTTAAATTATATTTAATAATAAATTATTATTTGTTCTATTGATTCAAATTATTTCTAGAGGATTTTAAAAAAAAATCTCTTCCAAAAATATTATTATCTACAACAACCTTTCAAGGCACTTCAATACTGTGTGCCAATGGTGTAAATCTTGTGTTGAGCAATTGGAAAGACTGTCTCACGAACTATGCATACACCTTTTCCTTAAGAATGTGCTTCATATTGTATATATCAGTCATTTCACTTATTTTAGCTATGAAAATTTTATATATTCTTCTCATATGCTGCAAAATTATTTTTTTTTTAGCATAATATAATAACTTTTAGTTTTGCAGCATTAAACTGTTGGTTATTCCAATTATCTTCCAGCTGCAAGGAATCTCTATAGAAAAATATTCAAATCCTCAAAATCTGCTGAAAACTCACAGTTGCCCTCACTTCATAGAAAAGCTCAATACATTCGATTCCTCCTTGCAAAACCATACCCATGAAAAGGCTCGGTAGGAGAATGGAGCAGGCAACTCTTTAAAACAGATGCAGTAATCAACACACATTTCCTTTTCAGTTGTGAATATAAAGTGTGACTTACTCTTTTAGTTAGCTGGGTGTCCATCATGAAATTATGCACATGCTTTTCAGCTTTGGTAAGTTCTAACTTCCTTGCCACCACAGCTACCACCAGTGCAGTGCACCCAGCACCCTGAAAACAATAAAAGAAACCCCCAAGATGTTACTACTGCACTTTGCAGAGTTTTGAATGGAAGTTTCTCCTCTGCTGTAGAAGTATGGCAGGCATCAGATGATTCATCCCTGTTAAATACAGTGAACATGCTACAGCTATTTGAGTTCAGAGCAACTGGAAAAGTCAGTAATTACATTCTGTTTAACTGTCAAGGCATCAAAATAATTAGTGAGCAGCATCATTTAGAGGTTCTGCCTTTTTTCCTGCAGGGTTTGAAAACTTGAACACTTCCCATTTCTAGTGCATAAACAAAAGGGATGATCAAAAGAAATTTTAAACCCCTGATTATTAGTAAATAAATGCAGAATACTCTGTTCTTAACAATTTATTCAAGGTTACAGCAACTGCTAAAGAGGAAGTAAGATTACATTAGTATTTAGTATACAAAAATAAAAGAAAGTTTTCTTAGAATTTTCTGTAAAAATAAGAATAAATTTAGTATTTAATCACTTTAGTATGCTCCCCTGTTGTTCTTCAATGATCTTATCATACAGTATTTCTGCATATCTTATTACCACTTAAAATGGCACATACACACAACGTTCTTCAAAACCTGGATGAACAAAAAACACCAGCGTTCTAGTTTGTACTGTGTAGATATATGCATCTGCATATGTATACACAGGCATGCATGCTCACAACAGGCCAAAGAGAGCAGGTGCTTGTTGCTTTGAAATGTCAATGCCTTTATCAGCATCACCAATTTAAATTTTTTTGCAGGGTGAGAGGAAGGGAAAGGAGACTGAAATGAACCAGATAATGAGAAGCAGCATCTATTGTACACATCTAGATTATAATTTTCTTTACATTACTAATATATCCTGCTGCCTTAGTAGTTTGGTTTTGGTTGGTTTTTTTTTTTTTTTTTTTTTTTTTTTTTAAAAAATTTTAAATTTTTTTTTTTTTTTTTTTAGACAAATCTTTAAAGATTCTCTTTTGAAAAGTACAAAAACCACATTCAATATATGAGGCTATATTTAACTTGCAGGTTCACCCCAATCTAGTTGTTATTGCACCTGTGTGAGCTACTCTAACATAAAGCAACCTCTTCTTGCACATTGAAGCTTACCATACCACATTTTCATCCCACTCTCTCTGTATTTCTCCCTTTAATTCCCTCTGTCTCCACTCCCCACCAATATGCCACCTTACTCTCTCTGGAAAATCCAGAAGAAATCTCTGAATCTATCTTCCAAAACACAAATTCCATTAATAAGTACATAGAGACTGCAAAATAAATTAGCTCACTGGAAACCCTTATTCACATAGTGCACTCAAAAAAAAAAAAATGAACCTGCTCTCTCTGCTTACTTACTGGGGAACCCAGTGAATTTTATGAAAGTCTCAAATTAATTAACTTTCCATTCTTCTGGTTAAATTGTTCCAAGAAATCCATCTTCTCCCTCACAAACACCTAATTCTCTGCAATTAGTTCTCATTTATCAAAGCTATCCTCAACATCTCGCAATATTCCCTTGAATGAGTCCCTTGCAATTTTGCTGCATTTCCTGCTTCTCTCCTGTCCTCAATACTACACTTTCTAGCTTTGCTGTTCCCTTTCCTTCTGTTCTCCACCTCTGTGTCAGTAGAAGTTCATGCAAATATACTTCAAGTCTTGTTCTCTCCATAAGTTGATTTAAATGGCACTGTAAGTTTCTTTGCTTCTCCACATCCCACTAAGAACTAAAAAGGACAGTGCACCTTAAGGTAGAGCATTTCAGAAACATATTGAGCCTTCTGAAAAGAGGGGTAATCAGGGGTTGCCCTGCCTCTCCAGAAAACAGACAGCTCTCATTTGGTCTCCTTCCTGTGAGGGAGGGCAGGAGAGAAGTGTTAATATGCAGAAGATGTCTCAGCAGACAAATAAATGAATAAATTACCCCATAGAATAGAAAGAGCATGAAGAGAAAAGCAGACATTATTTGGCCGAGTATGTCAGGATAACTGGGGCCAGATGCTGATTTAATGACATAACTTGATTTCTGCCTGGTTACAGCAAGAATGCTAAAATGGAATGAGATTATTAATACAGACATCACTAGCAAAGTGGCACAAAACAGCTGTTTTGGGACATAAATATTAGATCCTCCTTCCCAGCCTTTGCAAAAAAAGGCTAGAGGAATGGTGCCAGACAAAAAGAATTTAGTTCAAGTTGAAATTATTCCAGCCTTTGTGGTAAAATGTATACTTTTTCAGAGTGACAAAGCAGTTATATGGGGACAAACACTGTTAAAAGCAGTAGCTTTATATCTCACATGAAAAACACTGCCTGCAGCAGCAGAATATTGTCACTATCAAGTTATGACCAACAGCTCTATGGTGAATATGCACTGCTATTCTCTTTATCTCCAGAACAGCTTATTTCAATGGCAAAGTATTCTAGATTCAGGCTACACCTCTTGTTTTTCTGGGATATGATGGGATCTCAGGGTATGAAAGCAAGCATTTCTAGCATTTTTGCAAAAATTATTATACTATCTGAATGTTTACATTTTGGAGTAACTTGAAGGAAACCAAATTACGCTTATTCTTTAAACAACTAACAGCTTACAAAAATAAGATTAAAATTCTACTTAAAGTACCTGATGCTAATTACTATTTTATGTTACAGTGCTCTGCACTTTTATATGACTTCCCGAAAGATCTCAGCATCCTTAAAAAAAACTAATAAAGTGAGAATTACTTCAAATTGCAGAAATGGAGGCAATACAGTTACTTTAAAATGGTACCATTGTAAGCATCGTACTTGTCATGCTTTTTAATATCTCAATTCACATGAAAATCAATCTCAATTCAATGAATTCATGCTCATACATTCACGTGGTTTTTCTTATATCAATACTACATAATGCAGCAGCTATTTTTTTATTAATATGACTTAAGCTAAGTAAAAGCACCATGATAATTATTTCAGCTGAAAGAAGGACATTTTTGAGAGTAGAATTGTATAAAGTCTTGTATTTTGTCATTTCCAACATAATTATTTTTATTCTGTTTTGAAGATAATAGTAAACTAAATCACTGTTTCAAGCTCTTGCTTAACTTTCGGGGAAATTATATACAATAAAAAAGAAATGAAAAAGACAAGAATGTACATATTTTCAATGATCAATGCAGTAATTAATTCTATTTGGAATTTGCACTCCTCAGTCAGTACCTTCTCTGTCTCTCGCATTACAGTTATTGTAGTGCATTTTGTCTTGGTAAGCAGCCTGATTTTAAGGCCACTAAAGACTTCCAGTATGTCAAAATGTGAAGAAAAAGAGAATGAAAAAAAATATTCGTAATGCTCCCTCATAGTCCACTGCAGCTTTAGCTAGAGATACATATATCTGAAAGTTACTAAATTCCACTCCACTGAGTAGTTCATTGAAGGTGTGGCTTAAAGTAAAAGATGAAAAAGCAAGTGTCAGTTTTCAAAGAATTAAAAAGCATCAGATTATGCTAGTTAGTATATGTTCATAACTATGTACATCAGAACTAAAAGGTCTGATTTATGATTATTTAACAAGAAAGATGAAAAATGGCCAAAAAATTAACGCATGCCATTTCATTGATTTAATGCAAATTTGAAAACCAGAAAATGCTGCTTTTACGTTTAAAAAATTCAGAATCCTTTTTTTATGCAGAAAAATTTTGTATGTTTTCACATGAAATGTAGCATGAAACAGTTACAAGCTGTGCGACAACTTAGACACAGATGTTAAAAAAAGAGGACACAAATTATGACAACACATACAGTGCAAGCAACCTGGGCAACTCTGCGTTGAAAGTCCTACTGTATTGCTCGTTTTCTTCTTTTGATGGTTAACAGGTAATAACAGAATTAACCATCCATTAATCTGATTTATTTCAAGTACTGTATGATCAATGGGTTGCCAGCAACCACCTGTTTAAAAAGCTGATCTACCTGAATTTTTCTGTTTTCCAAAGGAATGCACAGGCTGAACAAACAACTACAAAATGAGGAGAAGCCCTCAAAGACCACAGATTTAAAATGAGCTTCTCTAAAACAGTAGCAGGACTGCTGCTGATAAGCTGAACAATGCCTGTTTCCTGTTTGCAAGGATCTGAAGACAAAGTGCCTGAAGCTCATCCTGAATGCACAGTATTTCTTGCTTGACATGAAATGGTGTGTATTAATCTTCACCAAAAGCAAGAAGTCTGAAAACAAATCTATGACAGTCTTTCAGCAGAGCAAAGCAACAAACACTGGACTACACTGTGAACATCAGTTCTCTGGTGGTGATGGAAAACTTCTGTTTCTGAGCAGTACAGTCTTGAACCATGAGGTCTACAGCCATTTACACTGTACAGAACTGGCCTTGACGGTCCATCTGTTTAGCTGCTGTCCTGTATGAAAACATTCTGATGTATCTTCAAACAACTTTAGGACATTCTTCCTATCTTTAATTCTAAATGTGCTGCTCCTGTTCAGTACAAAGAATGATGCCTTAAGTTCAAATGCTCATGAAGGTTAAGCAACAGTCCATGAAAGCCCTCCTTTAGTACCCTGTTTGGTGCCTAGAATCCAAAATGAGCTGCTTAGCACACATACTCATCAGATACTTGTTAAACACAGAAGCCTAAATGATGACTGATGTTCCTTATGGACAAATGAAGTTAATCGGAAAAAATAAAATGTCACAGGTATTGGCTTTTTTGACACTAAGCCCATGCTATTTGAAAACAGCAAGAGAAGAAAGGTGAAATTCATTGTATTTTGAGTTATACTTTAAATATAGCAACTGAACAAAATGCTTAAAGATGCCCTTCAGAATCAAATAACTATTACTTGGTGTTATCTTTCACTTTACCCTTCGGCATCATAAACTCCAACTTCCCCTATCTGTCTGCACAGTCTCTCCTCTTGGCACTTAGTTTTGCATTATTGCAAGCTCTCTTTCATCTGCTTTAACAAAGTAAATTATCTCTTTCTTAGCCATATCAGAAATTAC